TGTGTGTGAGATATATATGTGTGTGTGTGAGATATGTGTGTGTGTGTGTGTGTGTATATATATATATATATATGTGTGTGTGATATATATATATATATATATATATATATATATATATATATATATATTAGAGTGTGCAGCTATATTTTAGATTATTAAGAAACAATTTATACAAAGAATTAAATAGCAATATTAATGTGATTAATGGCAGAATCATTCATTAACAGTAGGTTAATGCCTCAAGTTCTATCAATTCCTTGAATAATAATATCCTTATATTAGAGTTGTTACTAAATGGACGACATATGCCAAGTACTTTCGACAATTTCAAGGTGCAATTTTCTTATATATAGGCAAATACTAAAATGAATCATGTGTAGACAGATGTTTTTTTTTTAAATTATGCTATTCATTATCAAAAATATTGTGCTATTTATTATCAAAAATATTATGCTATTTATAATCAAGTTAATGTCTTATTAAGTTCTGTTAGCGAAAGTCAGTAAGTGATGTTCTTGAAATTTTTGGAGTGGTGGGAGGGATTGATTTATGTGTTATATATATGTATCACAGCTCATCAGTTTTGCTAGCAGATGTTCTAGCATTGTCATATCTGTGTCCACTCTTTGATGATGTTTGACCAGCTCTTGCATTACCATCCTCTTGCATGATGCTTTTGCAGTGACTGTTAAGCCATGTGACATGGCCAAACCATGACCAATGTGTGTGTATGTATGTATGTTGGTCGTTGGGTCCTATAAGAGGCTCATCTGCTCTTTGACATGTCATGTTTTTCATCCTGCGGGGGTGACATGTGACCCTCCACAATAGCAGAAAAACTAGATTAGATTAGAAAAACTAGGTTAGATGCCAGCTACCAGTCCACGTGGCCAGTTGTACTAGGTTACATGTTTACCAGTAGCAGTCTTAAACTAATTTTAGTCAAATAGCATTAAATCCTGGCACAAATCCCAGAAGGAGAATTCAAAGATAAGAAAATACACTGCATTTAATTTGACCATTTTCTACTGCATTAGGATATAATTGGATATTTCTTTTTTTTCTTCTTTTGCAGAGCTCTTTTTTTGCAACGTAGGAGTCGAGACTTATTGGGCAATGAAGAATTACAGGTAATAATTGTCATTACAAGACTTTAATTGGCTATTGAACATTTGTATTTTGTGTGTGTGTATGTTTAAAAGATTTTTTTATTTTATTTTTAATGCAGGAAAAAGTTGCCAAAATGAAATGATAGCTAATATAGCTCGATTAATTGTTTCAATTTGAATAAACTTTATGTATGTAAATGCCAAAGTTATGTTTACACTTTTCCTGCTTGGATGTACTTATGCATCTTTAGGAAACTTACCTGTTGTCATATATATATATATATATATATATATATATATATATATATATATATACATACACACATGTCATCAAGATACCATAAACTTTCAGTGCCTAGAATTTGGTTTCCAAACCAGTGGAGGCATATAATAGCTTACAATATGATCTGTTTTGTGACATATTCGTTTTTATATTGTGTTGTTTAGCTGTGGCTGTACCACAGAGTATCAAGACTAAAATAAGAAATTGCTGTCTGCATCTTTATAGTTATTTATTTCCATTAAATGGTAATTTCCTATTTATACCCCAAACGGGCCAGCACAGCATACAGTAAGTTGAAAGTGTTAAATTAATTTTTACTTTATTTTGTGATGCTGTTACTACATTATATATGCTGATTCATTCTACGGCCTTCTTTAGGTGTATAATTTGTTGTGGAAGGGAGGTTTTTTTTTTTGTTTTTTTTTTTTACATCATTTCATTGCAAGCAAGGCATTAAAGACACAAGGAATTACTTAAATTATTAAGGAATGAAAACTATAGAAAAACAGGAATTAAGACAGAAGATAACAATTGACATTGTTTACATTTTGGGAGATCAAAGTTGGCACAAAGCTGTGAGAGAGTTCCACAAGCAAGAAGTGCAAGAGAAGAAACTGTTAGCGTAGAACTTAGGGTTACATCTAGCCATTTTGACTGTAAAATGATCGGACTTTGTTACCAATCTAATACTGTCTTTGAAAGTTCATCAGAACAATTAACATGAAAATATTTATAGCAAAGGCACATGGAAGTTACGTACTAGAAATTAGTGAAATGGAATTGCTTGTGTTACAAGTATTGTTGGGAATCAGTTGATCTGATTTAACAAAATAAAGAAAGCTAAACTTTTAACATCATTTCACCCCAAGCAAGGCATTAAAGACACAAGGGATTACTATGTGTGAGAATATGAAAAAAAATATTAAGGAGAGAGAACAATAGAAAAACAGATAAATTTCTTGGAGATCAAAGTCGACCAGAAAGCAAGAAGCTGGGAGAGAGTTTCATAAGTGAGAAGTGCAAGGGAAGAATCTGTTAGCATAGAACTTACGGTTACACTTAGCCATTTCACCTGTAACGTGATGAGACCTAACTGCCAATCTAGTACTGTACTTAAATTCATAAAGTCTTGAAAAATTCATTGGAACAACATGAAAATATTTATAGCAAAGGCTACTTACTAGAAATTAGTGAAATGTAATTGCTTGTGTTACAAATACAAATCAGTTGATCTAATCAGAGACAAAATAAAGAAAGCTAAAATGAATATGCAGAAACACGACAACCGGCATCTATTTCAGTTTTAAAACATTAATTTGTGTAATTGGCCCTGATCTGGCATCTCGTCTGCAGTCGCTCTCTCACAGATGTGCCGTTGCCTCCCTCTGTCTTTTTACAAATACATTCATGGTAACTGCTCCGAGGAGCGGCTTTCGCTGGTTCCCAGACTTTATGAAATTAAGTGTTCTACTAGGCTGGCATCTCGCTCACACTCTTTCACTGTCGAAACTGTTAAATCTAGCTGTCTCTTCGGCTATAGCTTTATAGGATGATTCAATTTTTCAGCTTAATTGAGTGTGTGCATTATGTGTATGTTTAGTGTGTTGTAGAGATGTTTTAATTTCTGAATACAGTTAGTAGATTGTGGCCTTGTTCGTAGTTAATAACTCTTAACAATATTAACTACAAACAAAGCCACAATGTGCTAACTGTATTCGGAAATTAAAAACATCTCTACAACACACTAAAACATACACATAAAGCACACACTCAATTAAGCTGAAAAATTGAATCACCCTTGATAATGGCTAAAGCTATATCCGAAAGCGCTTGGAACTATAAAACACTTGGACAGTTTTTACATACTCTTTGTCCAGAAAAGAAAGCTCTTTTACAAACACAAGAAAAATTAAATAAAAAGCTGAACCATAGTACCTTGTCTGTCGCTTTTTAATGAAACATGCATAAACGAAAGATTGCTGCCTAAATATGCAATATATATATATATATATATATATATATATATATATATATATATATAATTTGGGTATATAATCCAATTGGATCCTAGTAATATAAAATATTAAAACTGATCCACAAAAAGAGCTCAATGTATTTATTATTACAGAGCAAAAATTAATACACAATAAAATCCCAAATCACCTCATACGGGGAATAAGCTTGTTTTTGACCAATGAAAAAATAAAATTGTCAGTCTCATACAAACCTGGTATAGACTGAGTTTGTGTTGGAATTAGAAATTTAACTGTGAAAGATAGAAAAAAAAAGTGGGGGAAAAAAAGCACTGCCTTGTGCCTTTTGTCTGACTGAAACCTTGAAAGGGATAAATTCAGTATTAGTGGTTAGACAGTTGTTTCTTTTTTTTTCTTCTGGTAGCTTTCACAGTTAAATTTCTAATTTTGACACAAGCTCAGTCCATATTGGGGTTGAGTAAGACTGACAAATTTTATTTTTTCATCAGTTGAAATAAGCTTATTCCCCATATGAGATGATTTGGGATTTTATTGTGTGTTTTTATATATATATATATATATATATATATATATATATATATATATATATATATATAATAATATGATTAATACAAATATGAAATTTGTCACTTACCTGATTGATGTTAGATTCAGCACCCAATCTCTAGAATTTTGTTGATGGACCTTTTAGTAATTGCTCTATCCACTCTTCAGGGGGTATCAGTAATATGTATTTTATATTTTACGTCAAGCATTGTATTTTTATAGCATCTTCATTATTTATTAAATACGGTACTTGTTCTTATTTCTAATTCTTGTGGGTCTGGGACAGCAAATGAATGTTTAACAAGCTCTTAACCAGAACATCAGTGTTCAATCTTCATGAGCCCTCCACTACTCTGGCATTGTGTCAGACTAAACTGAACTTAGTAAAACTTGACGCATGAAGAAAAATACAAATATATGCTAAATTAGCATTCTGCATTATTATTATTACTTCCCTTTCTACTGCATTCTTTTTCAAGGCCTCTCAATTGCAGTATTCTTATTATAATTTCACTCAAAGTTGTTTTCTGTTGTCATAGCAGGATATGACAACACTTCTATGAAATTCAAACACACTGTTGTTCAGGAATCAGTTACTTTCAGTGGCAGGATAAACCTTTTGTACAGCAAATGAAGTAACATACAAAGTAATAAAGGTTAAAGTGAGATGGCTCACAAGCTTCTCATACTTGATTATTGTCAATATTGTAAATTCAATGCTCAGGGATTCTCTATTATTGAGGCCTTGTGCCAGAGAAAACAGTCAATTGCATGTGTTTCTCTTGTACAGTAAGGATTAGCTAATTAGCCTTGTAGATTTGTTTGTGCAATGAGCTTGGTCTTTTTCACACTATTTTAGCCTTTTGCCAGATTAAACTAAATTTAGTAACTATTGTATTTCTTTAGTAGTTTGTGTAAGTGATTTTCTATGAGAGGATGAATGAAATAATGGAAAGAAAACTGTTTTTGTAATAAAAATAAAATGAACTGCCACAGAGCCAAATGTCCATATAATTGCAAATCCACTCTTCCTGCAATCGGTTTCCCTTCAACATTTGTTCACTGTCACTGACTTTATATGCATCAGAAGCCAGCTATGCTAATCCTTAGGCAGCAAATCTGGGTTATTCCTTCAACCGTTTTCTGTTATAGACAACAGAATGAGTCTGCCCTGGTTTTTCTTTGCATCATGTAGGCATTGGCAGTTGTACGTGTCCTCAGCCTTTTTGAAGGTAAGTAGATTTCTTTTGCACGGTTTCATAAAATGTATTGTTTTTCTTTTTTTGTTTGCAGCACCTGTGGTTTCTCCTTGACAAACATCACACACCCCCGGTTATTGCTGACGAACAGATGATCAACTATACAGACTTCCTTAAGGTTTCCACGGAAGCTGGGACCAAGTGCAAGTAGGACTGTCACCTTCCTTCTTTAATGTGTGTGGGGGGAGAGAAAAAAGATATGGGTTTTAAAAGAAAGCAAATGCCTTATTTTAATTTGAATTCTTTTTTGTTTTGTTTATATATATATATTTATTGTAAGGGTTAGCTGGGACCAAGCGCAAATATGACTGTCACGTTCTCTCTTTAGTATGTGTATGTGGGGGAAGAGAGAAAAGATTATCTATAAAATTCTGTAACTTCTATTAGTCTGTCATACCCTCTAAAATAGTCATACATTGATCAATCAAAACCAAATTGAAGAAGTGCAAATGTGTAAGTGAGTACAAAGTACAATTGGTTTTACTCGGGTGCGTAGCTTAGGACAGTAAATTTTCATTCTTTTTTTTCTTCTTTTTTTTCTTTTTTTTTTCTTTTTTTTCTTTTTTTCTTTTTTTCTTCTTTTTTTCTTCTTTTTTTCTTCTTTTTTTCTTTTTTTTTCTTCTTTTTTTTCTTCTTTTTTTCCTTCTTTTTTCTTCTTCTTTTTTTTTTTTAAATTAAAAGTTTTATTATTTAACATACAAAATAATCCCACTATTTTAAAAACAATTTAATGATTAATAACAATTACTTATTTAATAAAAATGCAATATTCTTTTTTGCATATCTTTAAGTTTTTATATATACAAGAATCCAGTTTCCAGTTCACCCTGTGCTTGCGAGAACTATAAACAAATCACAAAGTGAAACATTTCAAAAAATTGGAATTTGGCTTCAGAAAGAAATATTTATGCATGGCCAGTTGTATGTTGCATGCTCGAGAATAAGAATTTCTAAGAATTTATTCTTTGCTGTTAAAAAGGAAAAAAAATATTGTTTACCATGAAGTCCTATAAAATTAAAGAAATTATTAAAATGTGAAATAGGGTTTTTGTCGAAGTATTTTTCCAAGGAAATCAGCTTATTCAAATTTCATCGATTGGTTTGCAAAATTGAATGGAACGTAGAGTTTGTAAATCTAGACAAAAAATGTTAGTGATAATTTCAACAATACTAAATACTATGAGGATTTTAACATGTGTTAGGGTGTTGCAAAAACATTCTAGTGCTTTAAAATTGTCCTTAATTTTGACATGTAAATCATCTTGAATGTCAAGTAATCAATCTCCTTATGTTGAATTATGCAGTGTTGAACGTGCATCTAGGCACTTGGAGTAGATGTGTGGAGATGCATTGTCCTAGTTTATAGCTGAAGAAGAGGAGATGCTCTTGTTCTCTTATTGTCTCTACTCCTTCTCTATTAACTTTCAATTTCTTTCTCCTTCATTAAGCCATAGCAGTTTCAAGACATGGATATGAAATTGACTTTTATGTAACTTTTTTCTTCTTGAATATGTCCACTGCTACATTGGATATTTAAACCATTACATAATGCCATCTATGTTTTTCTTAGAGCTACCATTATAAATTGCTTTATAAGACTACTTATGCTTTGGGAATAAAATTAAATTTATTAATGCATTCACTGGTACCTTGGATATTTAAACCATTACATAATGCCATCTATGTTTTTAGAATTACAAGTAGAAATTACTACATATGACTAATTATTTTTTATTTGGGTAAATATAATAAAGTTTTTAATATATTCACTGCTATCATGGATATTGGAATCTTGACATAATGCAATTTATATTTTTATTAGAGTTACCATTAGAAATTACTCTCTAAGACTTCTTATACTTTATATTGGTAATAAAATTAAATTTATTAATGTATTCACTGCTACCTTGGATACGGGAACCCTTATATAATATCATCTATGTTTATGATAGTTACATCTGCTTTATTTTGGTATATAAAATAATCAAATTATAATAAACAATACCAACCAATGTATAACCTTAAAATTGTTTTTTTTTCTGCTATTTGATCATTTGGTTTATTTATGTCTTCATTATTTGTTACTTAAAGGCAACACTACAAATCGAGGAAAAAAAATAAGATTTTGAATATCTATGTTCCTTCAGTATCTATATTTCTGAGATGAAGTATTGTGTACACTATTTACATTATTCAGACTATTGTCCTCATCCTTATTGCCATATTTATTATAATGTTTCGGCCCTTCAGTATCTGTCTGTATTTCTGAGATGAAGTATTGTGTACACTATTAACATTATTTGGACTATTGTCCTCATCTTTATTGCCATATTTATTACAACGTTTCGGCCCTTTAGTATCTGTCTATATTTCTGGGATGAGGTATTATGTACACTGTTTACATTATTCGGACTATTGTCCTCATCTTTGTTGCCATATTTATCTAAATGTTTCGGCCGTTGTACACTCCAACCTTCTTCAGTTGGTTGGAATGTCAAACTGAACCCTTTATTTCACTCGCTGGGGTAGACTGTTCTAGTTTCACGTGCCATGTTCATTATCCTAAATAGAATAGTGGAATGGATGCATGTGTGTCAGACATAAGATGCAACATGCCACATGATGCATGTTTAAATGTGCAAAAATTCACTGAATGAGAAGATTGTTATTGCAAACATGAAACTTATTTTTAGGAAAAAAGAGCATATTTTATTTTTGTCTGTTGTTTGATCCCCAATTTACTAAGGATGCCAGTTTTTAATTTACACAATGGATTGTCTTAAGAAAATTTTAGAAGCTCTGTAATTGCATATCTTTAGCCTCTTAATTAAGAGGAAAAAGATAGTGATTATTAAATCCGTTATTAAAACAGATCAAGGGGCCATAGTCATAAGAGTATCATTCATGAGGAAAAAAATTGACATTTGAATTGTTTTAGTCCAGTGAAAGCAATTATTATACAAGTACGTTGGTTCCAGAAGTATACCAGATTATCTGTTTTGCCAAACCAAAAGAGGTCAGGTCACAATTCAATAATACACTTATGACCCATTAATTATACATCATACCTCTACAACGTCATCGACTGTTAGAAATTTATATTAAACTATTAAATACGATGTGACCCATGGTTGCCCAGTGAATTAGTCTCTGGTAATTGTGTGAAATGCTTGCTTATAAATTTTGTCCAGATTAAATGAGGTGCCACCCCCATCAGTTACCAGAAAATCATTGGGACCCTTATAGTTGTCATTACATTGTGTTGTTAAATTTGGAGAATTTTCACACTGTTCATCCTAAAGTTAAACATTGGGATGTTGATGTTGGATAACAGTCATCTCCTTTTTCTGAAATCCCTGGCTACCAATATTGCAACAGATTGTAATGCTTAGGTGTTGAGAGATTCATTCTTTGTTGATTCTTTTTGATAAATTTTCTGTCATTGCCCTCCAAAATGTGAAGCATATTGACAGTAAAGTTGAAAATTCCTACAGAGCTGGGCTGAAGCTTGTGTGAGAAAATGAATTAAAATCAAAAATAATAAAGAATAAAATTCAGAAAAAATAAATATCTGTCTATATTTCTGAGATGAGGTATTATATACATTATTTATATTATTCAGACTATTGTTCTCATCTTTGTCGCCATATTTATTACTATGTTTCGGCTGTTGTATGTTCCGGCCTTCTTCAGGTGGTTGGAATGTCAAACTGAACCCTTTATTTCACTCACTGGGGTAGACTGTTCTAGTTCCATGTGCTATGTTTTAATGGATGTCAGTTATCAGTTAACTCCTGTTAATTCCCCTCTCCAAGTGTGAGTTCAATACCTGGTTAAGGCAGTACAGAACTTTCCGAATAATGTAAATAATGTAAAAAATAAAGACATTTTCCCATGATACTAATAATAAAGGAACTGGAAAGTGTTTTTTTTGTCATCTGTGCAATTTTATGACTCCACTTCTGGAAAGGACAGAACCTTTCTATTTCCATTTTCTAACATGGCATTTAGACATGCTTTGCAGCCCTACTCATAAAGTAATTTGGTTGTTCCAACTTGGCGCAAAGCTAACATAAGCTCAAGCATTTTAACCATTCTTATCCTTACTTACCCTAAGAAAATGGACATACCTAAGTAGGTATGTTCAACAATGTACATATATAAAGAACTAAGTTAAAGGAAACCCTAGGTACAAAGAACTATCCTACCTTATACCCATGATGTAATACTTTTAATACTGCATCTCTGCAATAACTAAGAAAAACAGCATTATGTTGGATCATAGAATTTCCAAAATCAAACTATTTACAACTCTTTTCTTATATAATTTATGAGGCTAGCTCTGTCATTTGAAATCTAGTAATAAAAAGACAGTGATGACCAGTGACAATGAGACAAGTACTGAATTTAAAGGTTGTGTGTTGGTGTATTATAGGTGTGTGTGTGTTCACATTTGATGTAAAGAATTAATGTAGAAGTAACAAAAACTTGGGTTTCTACTACAAACCCTTTATTTTATTTTTTTTTTTTTATAGAAACTGTAGGGAAACAAAGTTCTCAATGTCTCTCTGAACCATGGTCTATAATGGTCGGAGAGCAAATTGGTTTAGATCTGAACCTTTTGCTTTTCAAAAACTCAACTGTCCAAAATTATTTTCTCTAAAAAGCTTGGTGTCGCTTGTCTTCTAACTGGTTAGTTAATATTGATAGCCAATCAAATAACACCTGATTGAAAAATGGTGCACTAAGTCTTGTAACTGGTGTGAGACAAGAAAATGAAATAACCTTTCAACTTTTCAACAATTTGTTAGCACTCAAAAACACTGTGATGAGCAACAAGCTTCAATCAACATGCCTTTATTTTATTCTGTAAGTTTATGTTTGATAATGAACTTGTACTGTTGCAGCTCAGACCAGACATGAGGTTTGTTCCCAGGGTTCAACTTCTTTTTAGTCAAATGCTTGTGGTTTAAAAATAACCTTTTGGCCATATTGTTACCCACAAATTAAGACAATGAGAATTTATTGCACTAAGCAGATTTTATTCTTGGATTGTAATCTGCTATAGACAAGTGAAGCTGAGACGAGTCATAGTTGATAGGGAGGTGAACAGTTTAGCAGGCATCTTCTCACTTAGTTCTCCATGGGCCCTCCTTGTTTCTCTGGCCTTTTGCAGGCAGTGGCCACTGTCTTATAGAGAACATTATTCTTTGTCTTGTCAGCTTTGTCTGAAAAAAGGATTTTTTTTTCTTCATTCTATGTCCAAGCCGCTCACCATGTACTTGTGAAGACCACTTGACTTACAGATAACAATCGGGGGAAAATAAATGTTTGAATCCATTTTTATGACAGATCAGCTGTTTTTCATTTAATCACATCAGCTGACACTGATATCTCTACATACTTGTCATGTACTTATAAAATCTTTGCTACTTCAGTTAACATTATTAGATTATCCTCACTCAAACCTAATTACAACCAATTAACACCTCCACTGCCAATACCTTAGAAAACATCTTTATACAAATGACTTCACCATAATACACAGATTGGCCATTAATTAGTGGTGCCACTTTAGAGTTAGAACAATGTACATAGCAATTACTTCATTGATACAAGTAAATAAAATTGGTAAAATATGACGTTTGTGTAGTATATGAAACCACCAATCAATACTTTTTTGATTGTACATAATCGATGCAGTAATTGTATAGTTGCTATTTTATTGATACAATAAACTATCAGTCCTGGATGTTGAGTAGGTGAGGTTCATTACTTTCAAGATCACTGAAATTGAATCAGTTTAATGATGATCGGGCCATAAAGTTAATTTCAAAATGCTTCTTTGGTGATGCACTTTTATTTTTGTTAATGTCATCTCTCTTCAGGTTATAGATAAACATGGCTCTCCATAGCTTCCACTTCTTTAGTATCTGAATTGCCTTGAACATTTTTGAGAAAAGTAGTGGAGTGGTTTCTGTTTTTTTTTCTCTGCTGTTTTGAATTCTACTTTTTCTAAACTGTTCTCCTTACTAAAGCTTAAAAGTTTAGCCTGCATTTTTCTAATCTTTTGTCCTGGACATAGTTCTATTTTTTCTTTGCCCTCTCGCAGACTCTCTATTTGCTCTCTCGCAGCCTCTCTTTTTTTCTTCTCTCCTAACCTCTTGCCTTGTTCTTTCTCTCTTTTTTCTTTTTTACTATTTTCCTGTGTTCAACATTCATTTATTCTTTCTTTGTTCATTTTCAAATTTTATTATTGATTGCTTAATCCAACTGAATATGTTCGTTGGTTATTTTTGTGTATATTTCACAAAATCTGCTGAAATATAATTTTTTTTTCATCTCATCTTGGTTGGCCTGAGAACTTTTCAACATACCCTTGTAGAACATTAAAAGTCTAGCTGTAATTTTTTTTACTTTTTTTAATGAGACTATTTTCAAATATTTCTGTTCTACAATTCCAGATCTTTCTTCACTGCCACAGTATTTGCTAAACTCTATCAAAAGGAGCCACATGGAAGAATTTCCATCATGCAGTTCTTCAATTATGTGATGCGGAAAGTTTGGTTGCATCAAACAAGAATTGGTTTGTCACTATACGATGTAACTGGACTTGGTTATCTCAAGGAAATAGTAAGTCTTAGTTTATGTCAAGTATAATTATGAATTAAATATAAGAATATACTGCTATCACTACAAGTACTACTACTATAATAATAATAATAATAATTCTATAATATAATGACTGTTCTTGAGTAAAGTATTGAAGTGTTTCCTGTTGGTTTTGAATTCAAAGTTGTCCTAAGCTACTTGTCCCCACTAAAGCTTAAAGGTCCAGTCTACCCAACGTTTTACTCTTAGTTGGAGGGAGCTGGTTTTATGCTTTTCCTATAGGTTTGTTAGTGCAAAATGAATACAATAGCCTCAGATGGAATTTAACTTGACACTAATTCCATTTTTATGTGACATTAAACATTAGGCAACCAAAGCAAATGAAACTATTTTCCTTTTAGAAAAAATTGCAATATTTATGTAGCACAGACATAAGAAAAACTTCCTATGTTCTGTAGAATTGTGTAGTTCCTTTAGCTAACTATAAAGTTATAATAATGATGATGATAATAATTAATGCGATAAAAATGGACATATTTATTGAGTGTAAAATGGACAGGGTTAAAAGATAAATGGCAAATTGAAATGAAAAAGAAAAAAAATATTAATAAAACGGAGTAGAAAAAGCAGACCAGTTTTTGTTCATCTCTCTTTGTTTTTCTTCAATTGACAAAATAGAACAGGTATTCACCATGATTTAAAAAAAAAAAATGAGTGTGGAGATCAGTTTTCACATTGAGGATAAGAAATACATATATATTGATAATATAATAATAGTTGGCCGCTTGTATTCAAGGATACCTGTCTACTAAGGCGGCTAGACCATCCCTATTGCAGACGTTCACTGAGGCACGTTTGTGTTTGTTTAACAGCCACAGAGTCAACCTGTGCTTTATACTGCAACTATGCTGAGTAGACCTTAGTTACAGTTTCTGGGAGAGAGTGTGTTATCTAGCATGATCAACAATCTGAACAAGGCTAGCACACTCAAAGCCTCAGTCATGATGACTTGTGACTTCATGCTAGCACAACTATCGACACCCCCCAGTGTTCCGTCTACCCAATTTTACTCATAAGGCTTGGGTCAACCCATGTTATGGTTTTCAGGCATTTTCCAAAGATGCTGCACACTGGGATTACCCCTTTCAGACAGATAGTATCATGAAGACTCCTTCCTGACAAATCAATTGTGGTGAGATTCAAACCTGGGTCTCATGGTCAGAATGCGAATGTTCTAACCACTCGGCCATGCACCCATATATTGAAACCCAACAGCCATTCTGTTTGACACAGATTTGATGCAAATGATCTTCAAAGCTTTCAAATGAAAGTCTGAATGAAAATGGCTCAACACAGAACGTGTATCCTTGTGGTAATGAGATGTTCAGAGATGCAGACCTGGATATACTAGAACACTTATGCAAACTTTTTAGTCATGGTGTATAGCTGTTTTTATTTCCACAACCGAGATCTGAAGTGAGGGGAATGAGAGCCTTTCTTATTTTTTTCCTTATTTATTTATTGTGTAGTTGGTGTAATGAATCACAGCTCACAGAACAAATAGTTGGAGAGCTGAAATCAAATTCTAGTCAAATTTGTTACATTCATTAGTGTGCAAATAACCCCTTGAACCCCCCCCCTATCTTTACTGTGTTCCTGTTTATCTTGGCCAGTGCCGATTTTACCTCAGACTTTAATAATTCAGTCCCTTCCATATTTTTGTGTGTTGTAGGTTACCCTCATTTATTTATTTGTTCCATTTTTTAAGTATTTTTCCAACTTCTGTTATGAGTGTTTCCTCTTTAGAGTTTATGTATCCTGTTAAGTTGCATGTCTTTTGTCTCTTTTTTTCCTTTTATTATTATTTACAGGCCTTCTATATTTATTAAGGTTGGAACAAAAGTTTGTAACATTTGTAAGGGAATTTTAAAGACAGTATTTAGATATTTGTACATTGATTTCTTCAACCATATGTGTTGTTTTGTTCCAATTCCTTTTGACATTTTTGAGGTAACTTCATTATTCCATCCTCTTAGAACTTTCTGGGTGATGAATTGGTTTTTATATATATCTTTTTTTTTTTTTTTACAGACTTTTGAAAAATTGAAGTTTTTTCTCATTTTGTAAGGATTCATTATCTAGATTTTGATTTGACAGGCTTGCTTCTAATCTTTGAAAGACTTTCTATAGAAATGATAGTCACTGACCTCATGAAAGTGATATTGGAGGTATGACTGCAGGTTTTTATTTTGGTCTATTTCTGAGAATTGGTTTTAATTCTGGACTAGATTTAACAATGACTAAAGCACAAAGTTGAGAATCTGCTGTGTCACTTCAGGAAGTTGGTGATCATAGCTCTTCACAACTTCCTATCCTTTGTAGTTCTGAGCAATGTTTATTTTTTTACTATCCCTCCCAATCCCTGTTCTGCCATTTGTTTACACATGCTTGTTAGGTGGGTTTCTCTCTGTTTCCTTCTGTCCTTCAATATATCCTAAAACTTCAGCTATTTCTTTCTGATTGCAAGTAAAACTGTCCTTTTTTTTTCTATTCTCCTTAAAATTTGTTTGCTGATCCATGATATTCTCAGCAGTCTTCTGTAGAACCGCATTTCTGTTGTCTCATCTTTTCTATAGCTGTAAGGAAATTGTCCAAATAGTGATATTTTTTTTTTTCAATATTCTTATAATGCTGTGAGGATTGAATGTACTACAGTCAATATAGACAGAGACTAGCCTAATAACAAATGCTATCTGTTGAAAAATCTAGAAATAGGTATTTACTAAGCTTATTTTAGACTACTACAAAATCAGTGAGAAGTGAATTCACTGCATCATAGTAATGGCTTGCTAAACTGACCCTCTAACCATTATCGTGTTGACGGTGTGGAAAAATAAGTTAAATTACAAGAGTGTGTGTGGGTTGCAGTCAGACGTTGGAGGCGGAGTGTTTGCCATGCTGGTTTTCCAAAGCAAGGCCTCTCCAAGCTCTGGTGTTTATAATCATTTTATCAGAAGGAGTGGGATGTGCAAATCTTCCACTTTGTTACTTAAGGCCTGCCTTCCCTCCCTTCTCTACTTTTCCTTTGTGAGAGGGACTTATGAGAACAGAGTCGTTCCACAAGGTCACTTCTCAGATAGTTAACTGATCCCTGTTTAAATTTGGATCGCAAGATAGGCAGTGTTTCACCAACACTTACTCTACCGGACTGGCTTCTAGCTACCCTTAGAATCAAAAGGAATTTTTGACAAGGAGCCCAGTAGAAAATTGTTATATAGGAATAAAGTGTCTCAGTTGACACTGGAGTTTGAACACAGATCACCAGTGAGCAAACACAGGTGATTCCATTTCTAATAAATAGACAACATGATCGTAAAGGAAATATATATATATGAGAATTAGCGTGGTGTTTAATTGATCACTCTTTCTACACTATCCTCTTTCTCTATATTATTCACTACACTGATTACTATTTGGTGGTTACTTTTCGAGTGAGTAGTATCGAGCAAGTACTATTTGTAGGAATGTTATTCGAAGGCATCTGACACCAATATTGTTCAATGTCATTACTATAGTTGTATCTGTAGTTACAAAATCTCTACTACAATGAGCATTACAAAAATGATAATGAGTATTCATTGATAATAGTGGACCTTTTTCTGAAAAATTGTTTTAAAAGAAAGATTTTATAAATTTCAACCAACAGCAGCACTGGCTTCTTGCTAAATGAATGCTAAATGTTTCCTTATAGGGAAATGGCTATTATTACTGTTACCATTACCATACACACATGGGTTTAATATATATATGTATGTAAGTAAGTCTAATTTCTGTTATTACATTGTTTTGGAAGTTTTGCTCTTTGACCTTCTTCAGGAAATTTAAAACAGAACCCCTTATTTAATTTGGTCAGGTCTGGGGGTAAGTAGATTGTTCTCATTTTGTCCATGTCTCGGGTTATCTCATTCTTATTCTCAGTTATTGCTTGCCCTGTTTCATGTGAGTCTGTGTTTTTACTATTCTGGCCCAGGGATTGGACTCAGAATTACTATGCTACCAAATTCATGAACTAATGTTTTAATCAACTAACTTATCGTACCATGGGACAATCCTGATTATAGAATTGGGAGCCTTAAATCTAATGTTCTTATTGTCTGCCTGTTGCTGCTCGTAGATTAAATAAAGGATTCTACCCTGATTGACATAGACCTGTAGAAGGATGGAAGACACAATGGTCAAAATGTAATAACAACAAAGATAAGGATGTTAGCATAGATGTAAATAATGATAATTCCTCATCCCAGAAATTCAGACTGAAAAATGTCAATCAATCCAACATTTTGCCATTCATCATATGGATTGAACATTATGCTGTAAGAATTTCAGATTGAATTTAAGCAGAACTCATCAGCAGGTATGTTAGGTTTACAGTTCCAAGTTTTCTACACAGAATTGTTCCATGGGACAATAGCCTAGTGGATTAAAGTGTTGGTTTATGAATTTGGTGATGTAGTAATTTAAAGTTCAATCTCTGGCTATACTTGGACTCTGTAGAAATGGGGTGAGCAATAATTGTGCAGTGAAATGAGAATAATCTAACTCCCTTAGATTAAATAAAGGGTTCAGTTTGAAATTCTCTGTAGATTATTTGAATTGACGTACATCTGATGAAGGTCAGAGAGCACAATTGTTGAAACATTGTGACAACAGCAACAACACTGATAAAGACAATAGTCTGAATATAAATGATGTAAATATGAATAACTCCTCATCACAGAAATTCAGACAGAAATTATGAAATTTAAGGTTAAAAACTTCTTGTTTGACCTTTGCTTGTTTTTGATTGTGAAATAAAAGATTTTGTTTTTCTCAACTTTCTAGGATTTGGAAAATTATATTTTGGAACTTATTCCAACATTACCAAGAGTAAGTATTTTTTTATTTATTTCATCAAAGTTCATCTCTTTCTGGATGAACTTTTTGTTCCTATTCTTAATGTAAATGTTTTTGATCACCTTTCATTATAATTCCATCAATTTTAATATTTTTATATGTGAATTTTTTTCTTTCCTTTTTAAGGAAACATTTTTATGCTGAATATTTGTAAAAAAAGTTATAGAAAATAAGGAAAACTAAGATTGCTTTTATAGATGCACAGAAAAAAAATGTCAACAGTGTTGACAGATTGGGTTAATTTGAAAGGAGCAATTAATTTCCAAATTAAACCCTCAATTGATTGTTGTTAATCACATCTTCAAGGCACTCATCTCAATCATACATATATATATATATATATATATATATATATATATATATATATATAAAAAGTGAACATTGAAATCCATACTTAGAGGCGACAGCGTGAAACGGCCTGTCGCCTCTAAGTGTTGACTTCAATGTTCACTTTTATACTTACACACGCTAACAAATTGCATTTACAAGTGGTAACATTTAATTTGCATAACAATTTCTAACAGCATATTATAATTTAATGAATATTTCATTTGTATTATTTATTTTTACTTCAAATTTAAAACATAGCCATATATAGACAATGTTTCTGTTGATAAGATCTCTTTAAATTCTTTGTATAGGAAGAATTTATATCTGCCTTGTCAAATTTCAGTCATAAGTTAGAAAAACATACAGTGTTCATAATAAGCATTGTTGTCATATCTGATTTTTCCTTGCTACAAATTAGTCTAGACAAAAGATTTATTGAATTATCATTAAGTCAGAATAATCTGTTTAGATTTTCTTAAAACTGTACTGAATTATTTAAACAAGTGATAAAATAGTAAGTTTGTGGAATTCACTTTTATTAATTATTAATATAAACATTAGAAAATTATTCAACCGTTTCCCCTCATGGCCATTTCTATGTAGCTATGTCCAGAGTAGGAAATTCAAGTGGACTTAGCATAATGACAAAAAGAACTTTAGAAAATAGATGTCTTGCTGAAAATGTTGTTTATACAGAAGCTTTAGTAAGGTAAGACAACCTTTATGACAATTTACTGTTCTCGTTTTATAGAATGGATATTTGCCTAGTACAATAAAATTACTTCATTTTTTTTGTCCATCTGTCCTTTCACAGCCAAAAATAAACAACAGTGAAAAGAAAATGATTAATATCAATCGACAGAGGGAAATTCACACTATGTATAGGTAAATTACAGTTTATGCCAAAAAAAAGCATCAAACTTTAAACTAACAAAATACGCAGTTATCTTTGCACCAACCAAATGAAATGTTGCCAAATCAAAGTAATATTTTATTTCATTTTGCAGCCACTAATTTTGACATTAAGCAAGTCTTTTTTTTTCCCTTGAAACAAATTGATTTTAATTCCCTAAGGCATTACCTTTTAAAGCCATAGCATTTTGCTGAGATTTCCAAATGACAAAGAGTATTGACACTAACTCTATCAACCTTTTTAAGAGATTTTAAACAGCTGTTAAACCTCTGGAGTTCTGACAGAATTGTCGAAAAAAAATCTGAATATGTGAATTAAATTGCTATATCTAAAAAAAATCATTAAAACTCAAATTTTACAAGTTGATTTTTATATGAATGTAAATTGATTTACCTTTTATATGATACCAAATCTAACCTGGTTACGCGATATGGTTTTAAAAATCTTTTATAAAATTGTAGATATGTCACTTCTAGTTGGTTACATGATGGGTATTAATGCTGTGTATTGAAATACAGTACCATCCAATTGCAGGTACATTCAGGTACTTCCAGATTATATATTCAGAAAAGCAAAAAAATTGTCAACAGACTGTAAACTCTGAGATTTGTATGAAGAACGATAAATGACTGCTTTTTATTTGTGTCAAAGTGAATTGTCTGTCAGTCAATTATATTTTATTTTAATTTTTTTTAAATGAAAGTGTCATTAAAATACATTGAATTTTATACCAGTGTAAAAACTGAAAAACTCTAATCAATAAAATATGCAGACAATATTGTTTGCTGTAACCCCCCCCCCAAAAAAAAAATTGGAAAATATTTGGTAGTTGAAAACCTGCTCTCTTTAATAGCATTATCATACTCCCTGTTATAGTTTCAGGAAAAATAAATATGTGGCATTATTTTCGGAGTATCTGATATGTGCACACACACACGTTTGTGTGTGTGTACATCAGGTGTTTGATTATTCATGAGTGTTTTAAAAGGGTTATTCTAAATAATTTTCTAATAAATGAAACAGTAAAAATTTCAAATTATGACTAATGATTTTGATGCATGCAATTGAATACTGTTTGCTTATAAATTGGACCCCCAATAATATTTTCAGTGAGTTATTTTCCAAAATAGATAAAAAAAAAAAAAATGAAATTTTGTTTTCAAATACATGTTTGACTTGAGCATCTTGTTTTTAGTAAAGTTTTAGGCTGTGAAGGTATAAATTCAAGGTGTAGTTGACCAAATATTTGGACATCTAAAAAAAAAAAAAAAGGAAAGCGTAAATCAACTTGGGAATGGCTATTTAAACAATTCCAGATCTAAAAACTTTTAACATCACAGTTACAGAATTGTAACAAATATTTTGCAAAAATTTAAATGTTACTTTTGGGATTCTCTTGAAATGATAAATTTGTCTGCTTCAAGAATTCGCAGATTCAGACTTGGATTTCTGGTGGTCACTCTATACCGGTAAGTTCATGATTCCCTTTAAAGACACCCTGGTGACCCTTCCCCCCAACCTATTCTCTATGCAATTCTAATGATTTCATTTCCAATTACAGTCTCTCAACGTCTTTCTATTAAAACCATTGATCAGTTTTCAAAATGTTGTTATATTGGTAAAAGATTCTTTTATTTTTATTTTATTTGCAAAGAAATGAGTACCAAATACCAAATAACTACATTGACCAAAATTCAAGTTGATACCAGCAATTAGCAAATTAGAAGGTAGATACGAACTACTTCCTTTTTTTTTTTTTTTCAAATACCTGTGTACAACTGATTTTATAGGCACCTATGGTTTCAGAACCAATGCTGAATTATCCATTTTGCCAGACCAGCAAAAGTCACAAAATAACAATTCAGTAATTGACCTCTGACCCATTCATTATGCATTTCTTTAGAACAACATTGACTGTTAGAAACTTATATTAAACCCTTATTAAATATGTCACCTGTGGATGACCTGCAAAATTAGCCTGGCAATTGCATGAAATTCAAATGCTTGCTTGTAATTTCGTCTGGATTAAAAGTGATACTGGACCATTGTTACTTAGAAATTGGTGGTGTCCTTGTATTAAAGTTTAATGAATTTGTAATAAATGCAAAAGAAGAAACATTTTTTTTTTTTTTTTTTAATTCAGCCAGATAGGTAAGATGGATGATGTATGGATAATATCTAATGTCCAATCCATTTTATTTTGGTTTGTTTTTTAAATACTTCTTGTTGAAACAGGGAGAGGTTGATGTGTTATCAAATCCAGTAACTTTCATCTCATAGGAATATTGACTAAGAATGAATGATCAGAAAAATCAGTTTTTACTTTTTTTTTTTTTCTACTTTGATAATTTTGGAAATACACATAGGTATTTACTAAACTTAATCTAGTACAACATACTAGGGAAGATTAAATTTACTACTCAGTAATGTTTAGTGACCTCCTTATTGACCATTATCTCACAATCCAGCACCATTTCAGAAACTAAGGGTTACTATGTGTAATTTTGAGAAATGTCATTATTATTTCAAGAGATCTTTTGAGTATTGAACTCGTTTTGGTGCTGAGCTTTCAATCTGTTTTCTACATCTTTGTCAGGTATGTAGATTCTAAGGGAAGAGAACTGTTGCTTTCTTGACAGAAAAAAAAAAATTGATGTATACAAAATGATGGCAAATATACCGACTGGCTTGGTTCATTCTTTAGTTATTCAATTATATAAAATCTCCAAACCATTACCAAATAATTTCAGTTTGGATAAATTTGAAAGACGATAAGTTGCTAATAAATGTTAGCAATTTAAATATCTTGTAATAATTTTAATTTAAACATAATGTATGTTGGTAACTTTATGTAAGCAAAAGAACTAATCAATAGCCAAGAAAGTGTGTAAATTTATTTGGGTATTACCATGGTATCCTCTTGTAGTCAGAGATAACATGTTGTGCTGTCAGTGTCCACTATCCATGCACATCCATATGATGTCACGCATGCAGAATAGAACACTGTTAGAACAAAGCAAATGCTTACTTTGAGGCAGTTGCTGTATGTATGTTGTACTAATGACTCTACAATGTGTTACACAATGCCTACTCAAAATTGCCCTAAAGACTCGGGCTGTCTAACTGCTGCAGATGCCCTACGCATGCAGCCCTAACTTGTTAATGGAGGTGCTTGGAAAGATAATATTTCAAGTTTCCAGTTCCCCCATTATAGGCATTATCAGTGATATACTAACACCTTAATACAATGGAAAGAGAAACCAGGATGGCTGAAAGGAATGAATACAAAATACTCATTGTCCTCATAGTGAGTTTTGTATACTGCTGTTATACAAGAAATTGTATATACCTGTCACTATTTGTCCCACACAGAGAAACTATAACATATATGGATAAAAAAAGCAGTGTGAATAGGGAAAAAAAATTGAGATCTTGTAATATTTTTCAAAAGGAAAAACACCTAGGTCGGTGATGTCTTTTGTGTTCCTTGTCGGGACCATGTGTTTTTCTCTATTTGTTCAACCATTACGAGCTTATGACATCTATTTTCTTTATGGCCTATGTAGCAACATTGATTTGTCACCCCACAAGCCATCATATGACCCTTGTGAATTAATCTTACCCAAAGGGAGATAATTGTCCTCTGTATCCTTACAAAGTGAAAAGGTTATGCTGGGGGTGCATGTATTCAGGTTTTCTTTCATAGTAATATTTTTCTGGCTTAAACTTTTGTATTAAACTTATTTTCTGTAGTTTAAAAATTATTGAAAATAAGAATTTTATCTTCTACCAATATAACAACTTTTGAATTGTAATCTTCTTTTATGCATTCTGTTAAGTCTTTCCTTTTGATTTCATTTATCAGATGAATGTCAGGCTCTCTTGTACATCTGTTTATGTCTCTTAACTTTTCAAAAGGAATTTCTGGCCTTCAATCCATAAAATACTGTGATTCTACAGAAGGATGCTGAAGATACCATGGACTGAACATGTGATCAATGATGAAGTTTAAGAGAAAATGAAAACTAAAGGAAACTTAACATCAGGAAGAAAGGGTTGAAATTTCTATGGTACATAATGAGGAAAGAGGGCTTGGAAAATCTGATACTCATGGGACAGATTGAAGGCAAGAGGAACAGAGGAAAATAATATATAACCTATTTAGAGAGCTTGTGTAAATGGATGGCAGAACAAGTTTTAGGAGAGATAACGAAAAGACAAAATTTATTAAGAGCTACAAAGGACAGGAAATTGTGGAGAGCTATGATCTCTACATCCTGAAGGGATATGACACATAGAAGATGAGGTTAGTTATGGAACTTCATCTTTGATTATTTCAATAAGATACTTACCAAACTTGCAATATCGATATTTCAGTCAGATAAATGAATTGAGAATTATTTTTAGTATTTCATGATTGAGGAAGTTCAGAAGTAATACTTAATTTATTGTTAACAATCACTTTTACTGGCCTAGCCCATCATCAAAGATTTTGAAAAAGAAAAAAATATTATATAAAAGTGTGTGAAGTGACTGGGATGTGGTTCTGCCAATTAATATTGAGAATTATTATGGATGGTGAATGTAAAAAAAAACAAAACAAAAAAGTTCAAAAAAGCATAGGAATTACAAAGGAATTATTGCTCACAATAAAAAATAAAGAAAACTGAAATTTTTGGATGACTGATTAGGAAAGAAGGTTTGGAAAATTTAACACTCGCAGGGTATATTGATGGCAAAAGAAGCAGAGAACTTTGCGGAAGGATTTGGTAGGAGGGTAAGCTGAAGAGTTCATAAGCTGACTATGAAGGAGTGATGCTGTAAAATCATGCATGTGTTAACTACAACTGCAATGAATAAATGGATAGAGAAACAAGTACCTGGAAGACAAACAGACAGCAAGAAAAGAGAGGAAGGTGTGGAGAACCATGATCACTTGAATCCTGAATGGACATGGGACATAGAGATGTGTAAGCTTATTTGGAAAAAGAAATCTTTGAATTGTTCTAATAAGATGACATTATTGGACATTGTAAAGACCAGAAAAATTGTTGGATATGATAGGAAAGCCCTTATTTGTTTAATGCTGTAGTTTTAATCTTTATTTTCATTTCTAATCTTTTCTTTGAACATTCACACACATTCACATTATCTGGCTGACTTGTGATAGAAGCAGTAAAGAGTTTGTTTTTATTTGCTTATTGACAGAATATATATTAGTTTTCTTTCTTTCTTTCATATTTACTTAAGAATTCATGAAAGATATCTCTCTCACTCACTCACTCGCTCTCTGTCTTGTTCATTCTCTCTGTCTCATTCACTCTCTCTCTCTGTCTGTCTGTCTCGCTCACCATCTCTCTCTCTCTGTCTGTCTCGCTCACTCTCTCTCTCTCTCTGTCTGTCTCGCTCACCATCTCTCTCTCTCTGTCTGTCTCGCTCACCATCTCTCTCTCTCTCTGTCTGTCTCGCTCACCATCTCTCTCTCTCTCTGTCTGTCTCGCTCACCATCTCTCTCTCTCTCTGTCTGTCTCGCTCACCATCTCTCTCTCTCTCTGTCTGTCTGCTCACCATCTCTCTCTCTCTCTGTCTGTCTGGCTCACCATCTCTCTCTCTCTCTGTCTCGCTCACCATCTCTCTCTCTCTCTGTCTGTCCCGCTCACCATCTCTCTCTCTCTCTCGCTCACCATCTTGCTTTATCTTGCTCTCTTTCTATGTCTCGCTCTCTCTATGATAACTGCTGCTTCTTTACAGAAGGTCATCTCTTCAGTGTTGAGCTGTGGGTCTGCAGATAGTTTTTCAAACCAGCCTCACTCCTGCATAACTTTTTACATATGTGAGACATAGAAGATTTTTGGGGAGTTTTGAAAGTCACTTTCTTGCACTCTCATGTGCCACTTCAACCTGCAAATTTTATCATAAAACTGACATACGTACCCCGTCCACTTGTCAAGAAGAACATCCTCATAATCAGCATTAGACTGCTGATTTTCATGTGATCTTTGGTAACTATTAACTTTGGCACAAGATAGAACAACCTTCTTGGAGACGTTACATACAAGCTCAGACTTAATATTTTGGGGGGTTAAATCTGCATGACCTTTCCTAAGAGCCCACTTCAATTTCAAATACTCAACCCTTTTGACCTCAAAGCAATTGTAACCATCAAAACTTTTCTCCAACTAGATCTCTTCTCTCTTTTTCTCTCTATATCCTGATAGTTGTGTCTACAGAATTTAAAATTTGAATGTTAACATATGAAAAGGCATTCATAAAATAGATTTTTTGCAATCATTTTTGTCAAAGGTGTGATTTTAAATATTATGAAACAGTGTTGACATTGAATAAGTATTGAATCTTTTTACTTATATGACAATTTATTCATCGCACCCTCTGTGTGTATGTATGTATATATATATATATATATATATATATAATAATTATGACTATATAATGTTGAAAACTGATCCTTGTCTGATTACTGAAGTTAAGTCACATTTAGCCTGGTCACTATCTAGATGGATGACTGCTTGAGAATATCAGGTCTTGTCACCTTGGATGTATGGGATAATAGCTTTGGAATGAGAATCAGATAACCAAGTTTGAATTCTGGTCAAGTTTGTTACATTCACCTACCATTGGGAAAGGTATGACTCCATCTCTTCTCTTCCCAGCTATGGGTAAACAGCATGAGAGACTGGGCTCTATAGCCATGGTTGGCAAGCAGTCTAGGAGAAGAAAACTCTAAATCCAAACTAGCCTGGAGAGGATTTAAACAATTTGCACAATTGTTCAGTAAAAACCTAGAATTTACTGAACCCTTATTTTTTGTTCTTGACATGAAAATCCATATGTTTTTATATAATATATATGAATTACATAAAAATGAAACTCAATTGTACCCCATTTTGATGGCCATTTTGCTCCCCAGGATAAATTCCCTGGAGTTTATCAATGCTAAAATGTATGTTAAAAAAACGTTTTATGTTTTAGTATTGACAAGCTCCAGGGAATTTATCCCAGGGAGTGAAATGGCCACCAAAATGGGATACAATTGTTTCATTTTTATGTAATTCATTTCTATACTCTATAATAAATATATTAAGCTCCCTTTTGTGGATCAGTTTTAATATTTTATATTATTAGGATTCACTTGGATTACTTGCCCACAGATTTTTACCTGTGTGTGTGTGTGTGTATATATATATATATATATATATATATATATATATATATATAGAGAGAGAGAGAGAGAGTTCTCCAGTCACTGGTGTGTTTATCTAAAAATAAATATGCCTAAATTCACCTTCATCCCTGCTGTGGCTTAGGGGTAGAGTCTCCAACTGATATCAAATCATTTGAGTTTCAATCCTGGCTTGAGGCAGTCGGATGTCTAGCTACACTGATGAGCTGCGAAACAGTCTGTCTGTGGATGACATATATATATATATATATATATATATATATATATAAATCTTTTGTCTGGCACAGATAGTCATATAGTTAGTGCACTTTGTGAGGCTAGAAATAAAGTTATAAAGAAGCTTGTTAACCTTTATTGAATAGGAAGCAACTTTCTAGTTGCTATAGTGTTGGGGTTAGGGACTTCATCTCCTAGACTATTATTATGATATTAGAAATACACAGGAAAATTTCATGGTTTTCCTGTTTGAAATTTCTGATGATTCTTGATTCTTAAGTTGATTATTGAATAATGTCAAGGCGAGTTCTATGACAATAAAATATTGTAGAAATTCCTCTATGACATTGTTATATATTTGAGCTTAACAGCTTTAACAAAATAACATAATAACAAATATAAATATGAATGCGGGTCGTTATTTTAAGAAGTAAGGGGGTACAAATGACACGATTTGAAATTTACAACCTTTTTTTCAGCTCACCGAAAGACATTAAACACATTATTGCCTCTTCTGTCTTCCTTCCTTTTTTTTTTTTCTTTCATTTTCTCACTGAAACAAAGTAACCTCTCTGATATGTCTTTTGTCTTTCCAAGTGCTCAAAACGGAATAGTTTATTATTTATGAGGTATTGGCAAGGTGTAACAGTTGTGCTAACGTAGGGACAAGCAAAATTATAAGAAGGTAGTTTATATTCTCATTGAAGTCTCAATTCTTGTGGCCTTGTACCAAACTACAGTTGACACAGTTTTCTCTATTTGTTCTTATTGAATGACTTTAAAGTAGCATGGTGTGCCACATTCTTCCTTCTCTTCATGAATGTTTCTGTTACTAATTTGTAAATGTATTCTTTCCGTTTTTAACAATCTCTATGAAATTTAATTGAATGGTCGCTATGCTTCTAACAATTATTATTCTCACAATAATTGCATTTGAAAAACATTACTCTGAGTCGTTACTAATTTTTGACTAGTATTTTAGTAGTTTTTATCACAATTAGTAGATTGTTATTCTTTGACTGTTAGGTAGAATAGAAATAAAGAGTAAGCTCTCAGCAAGATTTGAACTTGAAAGCTGGTCTTTGGCAGTAGATTAAGCTACAAAAGCTCAGCCAATAGGTTTCATTGAAATTAACCAATAATAGCTACATTCATTTTTTTTATCTCTTATGTTGGCAAATTATTTTTGTTTGTTTATGCTTGTAGTATTAGATGTAATAGTCTTTAAATTTCTCACAGAAGGCATTGTCAATTATTATTCACTAAATTAACCAAATTAAATAATGATGAAAATATATGAGTGATTTTGCAGTCGAATTAATAAGATCATGTTGTTAGTACATTTCTTATTTATTTTGTTTTGTGTTAGTTTTTTGTATATTTTTACTTATTAAACCAAGGCTATAGAGCCCAGTCTGTCCTGTAATTAACCCATAGCTGGGGGGGAGAAGAGATGGATTCATACCTTTCTCAAGATTATTTGAATCATTAAGATTTAAAAAGCAGAATTCTTTTAAATTCTAATACAACAAGAGGCAATAGATTTAAAATAATAAATGAAAAAAGCAAAAACAAACTCTAGATTACAGAAGAAATGTGACCAATATTTAATATTCTCAACAAGACACCATTAGAATTTTGTTTGACTGGAGGTTTTATCTGTCTATATCTTTGAGATAAGGTATTATGATTACCTACATTATTTACACTGTTATCCTCCTCTTCCTTGCCATATTCACAATGTTTTGGCCATTGTACGCTTTGGCCTTCTTCAGGTGATTGGAATTTTGACACATGGTCCAGTGGATAAAGATGCTGGTTAGATCCAGTGACTAGACCCAAAGAGTTGTGAGTTCAATACCAGGCCACAGCAGTAGTGAACCAAACTTGGAGAGATAAGTTAAAGGGAAATAACCGAGACATCCAAAGAGGCATGGCATGTGGAACTAGAAAAAGTGGATGAATAAAGGGTTTTGTTCAAAATTCCAATCACCTGAAGAAGGCCAGAGCATACAACATTGTGAATATGGAGGTTTTATTTTATTTCAACAGACGGTTTATTATGTATTAAAAAAAAATTATAT